CAGGATGCAATATGATAATACCTTATATGTTGTATCTAGCAACGCTATTCCTCTATAGTTACTACAGACTTGCTTGTCGCCTTTTTTGTGTATTGGGCATATGTATGCTACTCCCCAGTCTTTCGGTAAAATTTCCGTCTCCCACACTTCTTTTATCAACAAGTATTTTATGTTTATAATATACAATAATTAATCTTTCAATTACTAAATAAATTGTATGGCAATGTTGCTCGTAAATCCAATCGTATACTTTTTTGGGATATTTTGGGGTCAATAACGGTGTAAGTTCATTGTAAATTTTAAGTGTTCTCAATCGGTCATCTAAAAAAGTTTAACGTTCTCAATTGTTCAATAGCTAAATACCGAATAATAACTACTTATTGGCGATTAACTGAGTCATCAGTGATGTTATATAATATTATGGTACAGTTCAAAGCTAGGTAACTAAAGATGTTTTTTATATATATAAATATATATGTACTATAGGTACTATATCAACGTGCTTGATGAATAAATAGCAATATAGGTAATTATTGGGAAATTATGCACATTCGGAGTGTACTTTGTACCCACCACACAATCAACCACGTTATCTGCAATTAACTGTTTACTGTTTGTACATTGATGGTACCTACACTGTGCCGTATTCAATATTTACATAATCACCCATCGATTTGATTYGATGACCTACCTACCCCATAACGTATATAGCATCAAAATCAACAAGCTGTGTGTAGACTTAAAACGTAAATATTCTCGTGTGAGATACCAATGTGATGCTAAATTATTAAAATCAAGGTTAGGTAATAGATAGAAGCTATTTTTCTATATTATGACCCTACATTGTGAGTGGACCATTTTATAAGTGGTCGTACGTGATATGTTTAAACTAAAGATCATCGCTGCCGTCGCATAGTCCACACCTCTGTGGAGAACGCGTCCGATTTCATTTTGTTCGACTTCAAGTTGGTAACTTCAATTACTGTCACTCGCAATTTTACATCCCCTTGTCACCCACACCCCCACCAAGCAGTCAATTGTATGTATACCTGCCGTGTAGTATTGTCACGTCCCTGTGCACAAGTCAGCCGTCGACTATGTTTCTTAAGTTGAACTAAATATTGAGTTGAGTGCTGATATGCAATGGCTTTCTCAAATTAATTTTTTTCTAATAAAACATAATATCTACCAAAGCCTTGTTTGTTATACTTTTGATATTTTTATTTATCAGATCCCAAGTTTTTCGTATTAATATTAGTCATATATACAGTTATAAATACTTGTTTGATATGTGTTTAAAACTTTAAAATGTATACCTATATTTAAGTACTCGGATAGACATTATTTTTAAATACCTACATCTTTCAAAATTTAAAATTTATTTTAAAATTTATTTAAACACCTTTACTTATTAGGAACTTGTCCGGAGTATTTATATAAATAATTTTTTTCCTATATATAAAAAAAAAAAAACAAAAATAATGGTGACCTTAATACAATTAAAAAAAAACACTTGAAATTTACAAAAAATAATAATTATAAATTATAAGCAATATCCAAGCTTATAATGCAACTTTCACTACATACATAGGACGCGACTTTAAAGGTAAATTTAAATTAACTATTAAGTAATTTACTTTAATTTTGTTAACAAGACTTCAGAATTGATAATAATCATACTATGTTAAAGTCTCTGAAACATAATGTAAACATAAAGGGTAGAGAGGTCGCAAAATTTGACGAAATTTATCTGGTCCATTAACAATAAATTTATTTTTTATGATGATTTTATTTTTGGTTTTTTAATTTAATATTTTTATTGTGTCTTTTCTTTCTATGATTGAACGTATAAATACATACGATTTTGATGGCCTTCGTAAACTTTCTGAATTATTATACGTAAATATTAATTTGTATCTTTTTGTAAAGGCCGTATATAAAGATATTGAACGTACCTATTGGTAGTGTTAACGCGTTCAATACAACGCATTCCACATATTGAACCCATATTTCTAGCCCTTACTAAACCGTTATATTCATTGTTTTACAGACAAAATAATATTTCATTGCTTAAATATTATATACTATAACATTTGGGAAGCTTCAATTCTGAGCAGTGCGTAATATGCAAAGTTATCGCAAAGCTTTAATTTAAGCATCAATTTTTTTTCGCTTTTTATTTTTGGATAAATGTCTAWAGTCCGTATTATAATACCATATAATCAGATTAGAAATATTAGAATACTATCACTATAACATTAAATAACAAAAGTTAAATATAATTATTTATTATTTATTCAAGTATCGAAAATAGCCATATCTGAATATTTTTCATTCCTGTAGTTATACGATTCCCTTCTGTATAGAATATTTTCCTTTTTATATTTACTRGCATTAAGTTGTATTTTTTGGACMCAGATAGTGTATGCATTTTTGACCAAACATTCTTTAGAATAATATTCCATTCTAACATCAAATGCTCTATTTTCTCTTTTAACTATTACCTCTTTCATATCCAGATATGAACATAACAATAATTATTAAGTTATAAAACAATATAATTGTATATTTATGTAAATCACCATATAACCTACAGATAACCTACAGATAACATTAATAATAATGAAGTTTGCACAATAGTCGATGCAAAATATTAATAGTTTTCACATTATTCATACAGGTGATGGTACAACTGCAACAATCGCATCGACTTCAACAGTCACATTGATTTCAACAATCGCATCGACTGCAGCCGACGTTTCGACTTCAACAACTACATCAACTTCAACAGTCGTATCGACTGTAGCAGATGAATCGGCTTCAACATTCGCATCGGCTTCA